AATCAAACACCCTAGGATTACAGGTGCACACCACCATGCCTAACTAGTGTTTGTATTTTTAGTAGAGATGGGGTTTGGCCTTGTTGGCTAGGCTGGTCTCGAATTCCTGACCTCAGGAGATCTGCCCGCCTCAGTTTCCCAAATTGCTGGGATTATAGGTGTGAGCCACCGTGCCCAGCCTGTCCTAGAATTTTTTTAAAGTGAGAGCCTATTTGTGATAAACTCAATGTTTGCCTAAAATATCTTTATTCCACTCTTAAAATATAATTTCATTCGGTATAAAATTCTAGTTGACGACACATTTCCTTGGTTTAAGAAACACAAGTCTGAGTGCAGTAGCTCACGCCTGTAATCCCAGCTCTTTAGGAGGCTGAGGTGGGCGGATCATGAGGTCAGGAGTTCGAGACCAGCCTGACCAACATGGTGAAACCCCATCTCTTCTAAAAATACAAAAAATTGCTGGATGTTGTAGTAGATGCCTGTAATCCCAGCTACTCAGTAGGTTGAGGCAGGAGAATTGCTTGAACCTGAGAGGCAGAGGTTGCAGTGAGCAGAGATTGTGCCATTCCACTCCAGCCTGGGTGACAGAGTGAGAGTTCATCTCAAAAAAAAAAGAAAAGAAAAAGGTGTTTTTCTTTTCTCTCTCTCTTTTTTTTTTGGAAATAGAGCCTCTGTTGCCAAGACTAGAGTGCAGCAGCACAATCTGGGCTCACGCAGCCTCTGCCTTCCTGGTTCAAGTGATTCTCATGCCTTAGCCTCCCGAATAGCTGAGATTACAAGCATGTGCCATCATGTCCAGCTAATTTTTGTATTTTAGTAGAGATGGGGGTTTCACCATATTGACCAGGGTGGTCTTGAACTCCTGGCCTCAAGTGATCTGCCCACTTTGGCCTTCCGAAGTGCTGGAACTACAGATATAAGTCATCTCGCCCAGCCAAGAAACACAAGTGTTTTCAATCACAATAGTAATTTTATGTACCATTATTAAATTTTAAATTATATTTTTTGTTTTTCTTTTTTGTTGTTGTTTTTGTTTTTGCACACAGAAAATGGTTCTGTTTCAACGCATAAAATTATATTTTCAACTAAGCTATTCACAATCTGGAGTGACATCAGCTTTAAGATATACCCTAATTGCAGAGATGTAAAAATGTGAAAATTTGTGCCTCCTAAAATCAATGAAAGATGATATGTATTTTTTAATACATTACATATATTCTAGCTCTTTTCCATCTTCTGTTACTCTTGAAAAGTCACTCACCAGTCTGATCGCTGTTTGTTTGTAATTATCTGTCTTTTTTTTTTTTTTTTTTTGAGACGGAGTCTCGCTCTTGTTACCCAGGCTGGAGTGCAATGGCGCGATCTCGGCTCACCGCAACCTCCGCCTCCTGGGTTCAGGCAATTCTCCTGCCTCAGCCTCCTGAGTAGCTGGGATTACAGGCACGCACCACCATGCCCAGCTAATTTTTTGTATTTTTAGTAGAGACGGGGTTTCACCATGTTGACCAGGATGGTCTCGATCTCTTGACCTCGTGATCCACCAGCCTCGGCCTCCCAAAGTGCTGGGATTACAGGCTTGAGCCACCGCGCCCGGCCTATCTGTCTTTTTTCATTGGCAATTTTTAAGGTCTTTGTTTGATAGTGTGCTGCAGTTATATTATGAATGTGTAGGTAAGAAATTCTTTTTTTTTTTTCTGTGCAAGCTTTTTTTAAATTTGCATAAATTTGTGGGGTTCATGTATGTAATGCATACTGATCAAGTCAGGGTATTCAGGGTGTTCATCACCCGAGTACAATATAGTTTTGTTAACTCCAGCCATCCTACTCTGCTATCAAACGTTGAATTTATTCTTCTATCTTACTGTATGTATGTACCTTTAGAAATTCTTTTTATTTTTTCTTCTTGAGATTTGCTAGCCCACTTGGATTGGTATTTTTCAAGAATTCTATTACATTCTCAAACATTATTTCTTCAAATATTGCCTCTTCCCCATTCTCTAAATCACAATCATCTTGGACTCCAAATAAACATGTTAGACCTTCTCATTTTATTATCTGTGTCTTTAAACTCTCCTTTGCATTTACCCAGTATTACTTCCTATATGCTGTCTTTTTGATAATTTCTTTAGATTTAAGCTCACTCATTCTCCAATTGTGTCTAAGCTGCTTTTTAATATATCCGTACAATCTTCAAATTAAAATGATTATACTTTTTACTTCCAGAAGTCTTATTTGGTTATTTTCCAATGTTTTAAATCTTTGTGGTCTCCTGTAACATTTTTTTTTTTGAAACGGAATCTCATTCTGTTGCCAGGCTGGAGTGCAGTGGTGTGATCCCAGCTCATTGCAACCTCCGTCTCCTGAGTTCAAATGATTCTCCTGCCTCAGCCTCCCAAATAGCTGGGACTATAGGCATGTGCCACCATGCCTGGCTAATTTTTTGTATTTTTAGTATAGATGGGGTTTCACCACATTGGCCAGGATGGTCCCAGTATCTAGACCCTGTGATCCTCCCACATCACCTTCCCAACGTGCTGGGATTATAGGTATGAACCACCGCACCCAGCCTAATTTTTGTATTTTTAATGGAGATGGGATTTCACCATGTTGGTCAGGCTGGTCTCAAACTCTTGACCTCGTGATCCACGCACCTCAGCCTCCCAAAGTGCTGGGATTACAGGCGTGAGTCACCATACCCAGCAACATTCATATTTTCAAAGTAGCCTCTTTTTTAAACTTTAAACGTAGTTATTTTGTATTCTCTTGCATAAGTCCTTGTTCCTACTATCTTAGTAGTTACAAAATTATTTCTAAAGCCTGATAAATTTAGATTTCTTTTTTTTTTTTTTTATTTGACATGCAGGTCAAAGCCTGATAAATTTAGAAAAATATATTTTGTTTTTTTAGTACATTAAGCATCATGTGATCATGTGATGCGTTTATATACTTTCTTTTTAAGTTAATTAATTTTTATTTAAAAAAAACTTTTTAAGGCTGGGTGCAGTGGCTCACACCTATAATCCTAGCACTTTGGGAGACCGAGGTGGGTGGATCACCTGAGGTCAAGAGTTCAAGACCAGCCTGGCCATCATTGTGAAACCCCATCTTAAAAAAATAAAATAAAATAAAGGAAAAAAAAACTTTTTAAGAGACAGGATCTTGCTCTGTTGCCCATGCTAGAGTACAGTGGGGCGATCTTTGATCTTGGCTCACAGCAGACTCAAACCTGGGCTCAAGAGATCCTTGCTGAAGTGCAAGACTATAGTTATGCCTGGCTAATTTTTTGTTGTTGTTGTTGCTCAGGCTAGTCTTGAACTCCTGGCCTCAGGGGATCTTCCTGCCTCAGCCTCCCAAAGTGCTGGAATTACAGGTGTGAGCCACTATACCTGTCCCATTTATACACTTCTAGTGATAGGTTAATTAATACTTTTTGTTTTGTTTTGTTTGAATTATACAGCTCTTTTTCTTACTGCAAGTTTTACTAACTAGAATTTAGAAGAACATTGTACACCCTTTTCATAATAGGAAGAGATACTATAATACAGGTACAAATTCTTTAATTTTTTTTTTTTTTTGAGAAAAAGTCTCACTTTGTCACCACCCAGGCTGGAGTGCAGTGGCACGATCCCAGCTCACTGCAGCCTCTGCCTCCCAGGTTCCAGCAATTCTCCTACCTCAGCCTCCCAAGTAGCTGGGATTTCAGGTGCCCATCACTACACCCAGCTAATTTTTGTATTTTTAGTAGAGACGGAGTGTCACCAGGTTGGCCAGGCTGGCCTTGAACGCCTGACCTCAAGTGACCCACCCGCCTTGGCCTCCCGAAGTGCTAGGATTATAGGCATGAGCCACTGTGCCTGGCCAGAATTTCTTAATTTTTATCCAACATAGATGTGGCACAAACACAAAATTGATGTTGACATGCTGAAAGCAGATTTTTAAAAAAATCATTTCGTGCATGGGAATTGATTTGTAACTAAAATATAACAAACACTGGTAAATTTTTCACCAATGCCCTTCTAATGGTTCAAGTTTCTATCAGGTTTTTGTTAGATGTGAATTAAGATTTCCCTAGACATTTAATTTATGTTTTCTTGATTTTTATACTCTTAGAAATTATGTCTCTTTAGATGTGCTGCATTTACTTATGACTGCTGTTGCAAATTGTTGTCAGGTAAGTAATAATTTTTAGAAAGTTGTTTTACTCTTGTTGCCCAGGCTGGAGTGCTGAGGCACAAACTTGGCTCGCTGCAACCTCCGCCTCCCAGGTTCAAGAGATTCTTCTGCCTCAGCCTCCCAAGTAGCTGGGATTACAGGCATGCACCACCATGCCCAGGCTAATTTTCTATTTTTAATAGGGATGGGTTTTCATCATGTTGGCCAGGCTGGTTTCGAACCCCTACTTTACGTGATCTACCAGCCTCGGCCTCCAAAAGTACTGGGATTACAGGCTTGAGCCACAATTTTTTTAAGTCTGTTTGTCAAAGCAGATGTCTCAAAGGCTCTACAGTGTCTCATTTTGACTCGTTTTAGATAGAATAGATATTAAAAAGTATTCCAGGCTGGGTGCAGTGGCTCATGCCTGTAATCCCAGGACTTTGGGAGGCCAAGGTGGATGGACTGCTTGAGGCCAGGAGTTTGAGGCCAGCCTGTGCAACATGGCACAAAACAATCTCTACCAAAAATACAAAAATTTGCTGGCATGATGGCACATGCCTGTAATCCCAGCTGCTCAGTGGGAGGCTGAGGTGGGGGATGGTTTGAGCCAGGGAGGATGGAGGTTGCAGTGAGCCAAGATCGTGCCATTGCACTCCAGCCTGGGTAACAAAACAAGATCTTCTCTCAAAAAATAAATAAATAAATAAATAAATAAATAAATAAAATAATAGTAAGAAATATGTAGCATAATTTTTTCAAGTTTTCCATAGCTCCTATTGGAATTTTCCAAATTTAATAAAAATTAATGACAGTTATCACATGGTTTCCCTATGTTGAAATCTTTTTTTTGAGTTTCTAAGGATCATGTCTGCGAGTCAGGATTCCCGATCCAGAGACAATGGCCCTGATGGGATGGAGCCCGAAGGCGTCATTGAGAATAACTGGAATGAGATTGTTGACAGCTTTGATGACATGAACCTCTCGGAGTCCCTTCTCCGTGGCATCTACGCCTATGGTTTTGAGAAGCCTTCTGCCATCCAGCAGCAAGCCATTCTACCTTGTATCAAGGGTAATGATGTGATCGCTCAAGCCGAATCTGGGACTGGGAAAACAGCCACATTTGCCATATCGATTCTGCAGCAGATTGAATTAGATCTAAAGGCCACCCAGGCCTTGGTCCTAGCACCCACTCGAGAATTGGCTCAGCAGATACAGAAGGTGGTCATGGCACTAGGAGACTACATGGGCACCTCCTGTCACGCCTGTATTGGGGGCACCAATGTTCGTGCTGAGGTGCAGAAACTGCAGATGGAAGCTCCCCATATCATCGTGGGAACCCCTGGCCGTGTGTTCGATATGCTTAACCGGAGATACCTGTCTCTCAAATACATCAAAATGTTTGTACTGGACGAAGCTGATGAAATGTTAAGCCGTGGATTCAAGGACCAGATCTATGACATATTCCAAAAGCTCAACAGCAACACCCAGGTAGTTTTGCTGTCAGCTCCAATGCCTTCTGATGTGCTTGAGGTGACCAAGAAGTTCATGAGGGACCCCATTCGAATTCTTGTCAAGAAGGAAGAGCTGATCTTGGAGGGTATCCGCCAATTCTACATCAATTTGGAACTAGAGGAATGGAAGCTGGACACACTGTGTGACTTGTATGAAACCCTGACCATCACCCAGGCAGTCATCTTCATCAACACCCGAAGGAAGGTGGACTGGCTCACTGAGAAGATGCATGCTCGAGATTTCACTGTCTCTGCCATGCATGGAGATATGGACCAAAAGGAACAAGATGTGATCATGAGGGAGTTTCGATCTGGCTCTAGCGGAGTTTTGATTACCACAGACCTGCTGGCCAGAGGCATCAATGTGCAGCAGGTTTCTTTAGTCATCAACTATGACCTTCCCACCAACAGGGAAAACTATATCCACAGAATCGGTCGAGGTGGACAGTTTGGCCGTAAGGGTGTGGCTATTAACATGGTGACAGAAGAAGACAAACAGACTCTTCGAGACATAGAGAACTTCTACAACACCTCCATTGAGGAAATGCCCCTCAATGTTGCTGACCTCATCTGAGGGGCTGTCCTGCCACCTAGCCCCAGCCTGAGCTCAGTCTTGGGGGGCTGAGGAGTAGCAGGAGGGGGGAGGGAAGGGAGCCAAGGGATGGACATCTTGTCATTTTTTTTTTCTTTGAATAAATGTCACTTTTTGAGGCAAAAAAAAGTGCCTCAAAAAGGCACTTTTTTTTTTTTTTTTGAGACAGAGTTTTGCTCTTATTTCCTGGGCTGGAGTACAGTGGCACAATCTCAGCTCACTGCAACCTCCGCCTCCTAAAGATGGGGTTTCTCCATGTTGGTCACTCTGATCTTGAACTCCCAACCTCAGGTGATCTGCCTGCCTTGGCTTCCCAAAGTGTTGGGATTACAGGCATGAACCACGGCACCCGGCCTGAAGTCATTTTTTTAAAGTTTAGTGATTTCAATAGAATACCTGAGCTTCAGCATGAGTCATCTTTCTCCTTTCCAATAACCTATTATTTAATGCCATAAGAAAGCAATTGTGTTGATAAGGCAGTTTTTCTCTTCACTGCATGCATTTAAAATTTTGGTTATAATTAAATGCCTCTTTGTGGGCTGTAAAAAAAATTATCATGTTTTTCTGCCCAACAATGGAGGGGAACAGGTGTAAGAGAGCTATATTTGGAGAAAGCCAGACATAGAGGGGATAAATATTAACCTATTCAGATGGTGATTATGACATTTAGTTTGGGCAACATGATATTGAGCTAAAACTCTTGCATAATACTAGATGGGCTGTAGTGGCAAAAATATGAGTAAAAGTCCCAGAAAAAAATGTCACTGATGGGCCAGGCACGGTGGCTCATGCCTGAAATCCCAACGCTTCGGGAGGCTGAGGCAGGAGGATTACTTGAGGTCAGGAGTTTGAGACCAGCGTGACCAACATGGAGAAACCCTGTCTCTACTAAAAATACAAAAAATTAACTGAGTGTGTTGGCGCATGACTGTGATCCCAGCTACTTGGGGGGTTGAGGCACAAGGATTGCTTGCATCTGGAGGCAGAGGTTGCAGTGAAGTTAGATTGCACCACTGTACTCTAGCTCGGGCAATGGCGAGACTCCATCCCAAAAATAAATAAATAAGATAAATGTAAAGTCTTTTGCTGGTACTTCCTAGTTTGAGAAACTTTTATTGTGAGGGGTTTTGATTGTGTTTATGCAGATATGTTTTCTTTACCATGGTGTAGTCATAAGACAAAGAGTAGAAACCTGGAAGATGCAGCCTGTTCTGGAGGGAGTTAATGGAAGCAATATAAATTTTTCAGCTGAAGAAAAATACCTCACAACCTATTGTTACCTTTTTTTTTCTTCAGATGAAGTTTTGCTCTGTCGCCCAGGTTGGAGTGCAGTGGCACAATCTCAGCTCATTGCAACCTTTGCCTCCCAGGTTCAAGCGGTTCTCTTGCCTCAACCTCCCAAGTAGCTGGGAATACAGGTGTATGCCACTACACCTGGCTATTTTGTGTGTGTATGTGTATTTTTGGTAGAGACGGGGTTTCTCCATATTGGTCAGGCTTGTCTTGAACTCCTGACCTCAAATGATCCACCCGCTTCAGCCTCCCAAAGTGCTGGGATTACAGGCGTGAGCCACCGCGCCTGGCCTGTTCTCATTTTTAATTGAAATTTTTTACTGAGATAATTGTAGATTCACCTGCAATTATAAAAAATAATTCAGAGGTCGGGCCGGGCGCGTTGGCTCAAGCCTGTAATCCTAGCACTTTGGGAGGCCAAGGCGGGTGGATCACGAGGTCAAGAGATCGAGACCATCCTGGTCAACATGGTGAAACCCCGTCTCTACTAAAAATACAAAAAATTAGCTGGGCATGGTGGCGCGTGCCTGTAATCCCAGCTACTCAGGAGGCTGAGGCAGAGAATTGCCTGAACCCAGGAGGCGGAGGTTGCGGTGAGCCGAGATCGCACCATTGCACTCCAGCCTGGGTAACGAGTGAAACTCCGTCCCAAAAAAAATAAATAAATAAAATAATAATAATAATAATAATTCAGAGGTATCTCTTGTATACTTTGCCCCATTTCTCCCAAAGGTAACATTTTGCAAAATTATAGTCTAATATAACAGCATGAATATTCACTTTAATACAATCCACTGAGTTTATTCAGATTTACCCAGTTTTACTTATACTCAACTGTGTGTTTTTGTATTAAGTTCTATATAACAAGTGAACATACTGAACAGTTCTAACATCACAAATATCCTTCAGGTAGCCCTTTTGTATTCACATCGACTTCCTTCTCACCTCTAACTATTGACAACCTCTACAAATAATCATTTAAAAAATTAGCCAGGTGTGGTGACACCTGCCTGTAGTCCCAGCCACTGGGGGAGACTGAGATAGGAGGATCACCTGAGCCTGGGAGGTCAAGGCTGCAGTGAGCTGTGATTGCCTCTGTACTCCAGACTGGGTGAGAGATTGAGACCATGCCTCAAAACTAATAAATGTATAACTTAAATGTGACTTAACATCATGAAGTTTTTAAAAACAAAATTATAAATGATTTTAACACTTTCCCTTCATCATTAGCTAAGAAATCTTCAGAATAAACTTTTCATAAAAGAAACTTCACTGCAAAAGTTGAAGACTGAGCTAGAAAGTTACAAAGAAAAGAATGTGCAACAGTCGTTCCAGATAATGTCCCTGAAAGATAGTATCAAGGACCTACAGGAACTTATTGCTTCTCTAACCAGAATTAAGTATTTGAGAAACACCAATATTCAGAGCCTTGAAAGAGGCACCTGGGATTTAACTGAACGAATTATAGAACTGGAACACCGTCTAAGGTAGGAAATTTTCCAGTTTGTTTTCAAACATGTCTTTGGTTGTAAGCTTGCAAATAGCATATGAACTCCATACTCCTGATTGATCACAGAATTTAAATCTGTAGAACATCACTTAATACCTGACCCAACATTATTACATTTTTAAAGAAATGTATTGAGGTATAACTTAAATACCTCAATGGTGGCCTATGCCTATAATCCCAGCACTTTGGGAAGCCAGGGCTGGTGGATCACTTGAGGTCAGGAGTTTGAAACCAGCCCGGCCAACATGGCAAAACCCTGTCTCTACTAAAAATACAAAAATTAGCTGGGCGTGGTGATGTGCACCTATAATCCCAGCTACTCTCCTGAGGAGGCTGAGGCAGGAGAATCACTTGAATCCAGAAGGTATGTGATTCTGTCTCAAAAAACAAAATCCCCAGCCTGACCAACATGATGAAACCCCATCTCTACTAAAAATACAAAAAATTAGCCAGGTGTGGTGGCGGGCACCTGTAATCTCAGCTACTTAGGAGGATGAGGCAGGAGAATCACTTTAACCCAGGAGGTGGAGGTTGCAGTGAGCCGAGATCGTGCCACTGCACTCCAGCCTGGGTGACAGTGCAAGACTCTGTCTCAAAAAAAAAAAAAAAAAAATCCAATTTGAGATATAACTTACATACCTCAAGATTCAATTTAATGTGTACAATTCAATGGTTGTACAATCATCACCACTATCTAATTTCAGAACAATTTAATCACACCCAAATGAAACCACATGACCATTGGCTGTCATTCCCCATTTCACCCTTCCTCATCTCCTGACAATTTACCACTAATCTACTTCTGTCTCCATAGATTTGACTTATCTGGACATTTGCCTCTTCTGGACATATGAATACAGTCATAAAATGTGTGATCTCTATCTGGCTTCTTTCAAGGTTATCCATGTTGCAGCATTAATCAATATTTCATGTATTTCTATTTTTTTTTCAGACACAATCTGGTTTTTTTTTTTTTTTCTTTGAGACGTGATCTTGCTCTGTAGCCCAAGTTGGAGTGCAGTGGTGAGATCCTAGCTCACTGTAGCCTCAAACTGTTGGGCTAAGTGATCCTTCCACCTCAGCCTCCCAAGTAGCTGGAACTACAGGCACACACCACCATACCCTACTAATTTTTTTATTTTTATTTTTTGTAGAGACAGGGTCTCTCTATGTTGCACAGGCTGGTCTTGAACTCCTGGGCTCAAGCAGTCCTCCCACCTCAGCTTCCCAAAGTTTTGGGATTACAGGTTTGAGTCACCATGCCCAGCCCATATTTTTAATAGCTGAATAATATTTCATCATATGAATATACCACATTTTGTTCATTTATTTATCTCTTAATGAACATTTGGGTTGTTTCCATTTTTTTGGCTTTATGAGTAATGCTACTATGAACATTCTTGTACAAACTTTTATATGAACACATATTTCTTTTCTCTTAGGTATATGCCTCAGAAGCAAAATGGTTGGGTCATATAGTAAATCTGTATTTAACCTTGTGAAGTTATTTTTGAGAAATTGCCAGACTGTTTCCAAGGCAGGTGTACCATTTTACATTCCCACCAGTAATGTATGAGGGTTACAATTTCTCCACATCTTCACCAACACTTGCTATTGTTTGGCTTTTTTTTTTTTGAGATGGAGTTTCTCTCTTGTTGCCCAGGCTGGAGTGCAATGGCGTGATCTCAGCTCACCACAACCTCTGCCTCCTGGGTTCAAGCGGTTCTCCGGCCTCAGCCTCCCAAGTAGCTGGGATTACAGGCATGTGCCACCACGCCCAGCTAATTTTGTTTGTTTGTTTGTTTTTTTTTTTGAGATGGAGTTTCACTCATGTTACCCAGGCTAGCGTGCAATGGCGCAATCTCGGCTCACCGCAACCTCCGCCTCCTGGGTTCAGGTAATTCTCCTGCCTCAGCCTCCTGAGTAGCTGGGATTACAGGCACGTACCACCATGCCCAGCTAATTTTTTGTATTTTTAGTAGAGACGGGGTTTCTCCATGTTGGTCAGGCTGCTCTCAAACTCCTGACCTCAGGTGATCTTCCCACCTTGGCCTCCCAAAGTGCCACAATTACAGGCGTGAGCCACCCCCTGTTTAAAACAACAGGCCTATTTAAAAAAAGGCCTGTTTGGCTTTTTAAAAAAAATAGTTGATATAATTCTAGTAGATATGAAGTGGTATCTCATTTTGCCTTTAATTTGCATTGCCTTAATGATTGAAGATGTTGAGTGATTTGGTTTGAGTCTGTGTCCCCACTCAAATCTCATGTCAAATTGTAATCCCCAGTGTTGGAGGTGGGGCCTAGGGGGATGTGATTGGATCATGGG